CGCCAGGCCCTGACCCGGGCCCTGCGGGAGGGGAGCCCCCGGGGTGACGCCTTTCCCCTCTCCCCCGCCCCCGGCGGCTCTAGGCCCGGGCTGGGCCCCGTTGTGGAGTTGAGCGCCGAGGCCGCCGGTTTTCGCCGCCCCTCGGGCCTGGGAGGCACGTATCGGTGGTGGAAGCGGAGCCCGGCGCCGTGGCGGCCCGGAGGTGGCAGAGGGGGTGGGGGCATCGGTTCGGCGCTCCATAGTTGAGTGTTTGGGGGTACGTGCGGGGGAGGAGCGGGAAGGGCGCAGAAAAAGAGCTTTACCTTGGGGTCTGCAGCTTTTTTCTGTTGTCCCCTGTAGAATGAAGACCATTCTCAGCAACCAGACCGTTGACATCCCCGAGCAAGGTACGTCTGTCTGCGCGTGCGTTTGAAAGACATTCTGTGGTGCTGACCCCGCAGTCGGTTAACGAGCGTCTGCCTTTGATTTCCAGTCAGCGTTTCACTGAAGGGCCGGACAGTCATTGTAAAGGGCCCCAGAGGAACCTTGCGGAGGGATTTTAACCACATTAACGTGGAGCTGTCCCTCCTGGGAAAGAAACACAAGAAGGTGAGAGCTGCAGAGCTTGTTTGTCTGCCCAGAGAGGGGAGAGGGGCTTTGCAGTTAGCTTTAACACTTCTTGCTACTGTAGGACATGGAAGCAAACATTTAGGCCGTGGATAAGTTAATTATTTGCTTGTTTCTGTGTTTTCTGAAAGAGGCTGGTCTTACGGAACCTTGGGACCTACTTGGGAACTGTGGAGCTCTTGAGGTTCTGTGATATGTTTGAATTTGTTGATTGATCTTTGGTGGTCAGATAGTTACTGGAAAGGGGCCTGTTCGTTATATGCTCCATTTTATAAACGGGCCAGTTTTAGCTAGATAAAATTAAATCGTTACATTATTAAAAACTGAAAAAAAGTTAACAGTGGCTGATTTCAGCTACTTTTTCCACAAGCATCTAGTGTTTTGTTAAACAGTGGACCCACACACTGTTTCATTAAAAAGTTGGTAGGTAATACCTAGGAAACTGATTTTGGAACAGTCTGTTCAGTGTTAGTGTGTGATAAAACATCTTTCAGCTTAACGTGTCAGAGTATGTATCCCAGCTTCTTTGGAGATTTGTTAATAACGAGACATGAAGAGGAAATTTTCTCATACGTCTGGGGGTTAGGGCTTAGAAGACTTGAGCTATGTGGGCCTTTATTTTGTTTCTTTGAAGGACTGCTACCTTTGTGCTTTTGTCAGGAGGGCTTCTAAGTAGTTTACCTGAATTTCTGACTCTTAGTTTGTCACAAAAAATGTTTAATTTCTGGTTTCGAAGTGTAGCTGAAAGCTTTGTCAATTCTATTTATTTTTTTTATACAGCTACGTGTTGACAAGTGGTGGGGTAACAGAAAGGAGCTGGCAACAGTTCGCACAATTTGCAGCCATGTACAGAACATGATAAAGGGTGTTACACTGGTGAGTTTTATTTTGAAGTAGGATAACTCATGTCGGTTTTGTTCCTAACAGCAGACAGCCTATTACTTTAGTGAGACCTTTTCTAAGGATCGAGATGTAGCTTTCTCTTTTTTTTTCTTGCATGTGCTGTTAAACAAGTTCTTCAAGTGGAAGAAAGCGTGAACTATAAACGCTGCCTGTCTCTTGGGCTCAGTGGCTTGCTCTCGTTAAGAAACTTTTCAGTGTATTTTGGTTTTAGATATCTTCAGTAAGCTTTATTCATCGGTTTTACCTTTTTGATGTATTCTGCTTTCAATGTCTCATGTGCTTTATCCTAGGGATTTCGTTACAAGATGAGGTCAGTGTACGCTCACTTCCCAATCAACGTAGTTATACAGGATAATGGCTCACTTGTAGAAATCCGAAACTTCTTGGGGGAGAAGTACATTCGCAGAGTGCGTATGAGGCCAGGTGAGCATCTCTGGTGGTGTACTTTACTATTTCTAACTAGGGTTTCTAAACTGTTTTCTTTGGGTATTGGCACTGATAACAGGAGATGGTGAATGAGTGTTGAAGCAGCATTTGCCTGTCTGTGTAATCTCATGACACTTTTACCACTGTTGAGATTATATTATTAATAATGCTTTTGTAAGTTATTTTTGGAAATAGGGCTAGCTGATAACTAGTTTAGAGCTAGTTATTGGAATACAAGTTCCAAGTGGCCCAGTGTTTACTTTCATCATTGTGAAATCTCAATAGTGTTCATAGTTAGTAAACTCTGGGTGCTTAATTTTAGATTTGTATTTCTGTTTTAAACATTGTACATAAACTAGTTTCACACCACATCATATTTTTGGTCTTTGAAGTGCTGTTGTATTTTGAATTTCCTGATTGTGTAGGAGCATGTAAGATAAATATAAAACCAACAAGATGATAATTTTGACATCTTGCATACTTGAGGTTTTAGTAAAATGTATAACAGTGTAGGCATTTGATGGAGTTTGTTAACCTTCCAAAAGGAGGAAGCAAAACATGTTATAAACATGGTTACCTTAAGACTGTAAGGAAGGCTTTCCATATCCATTTTTTTAATAGTTCCACTTCTGGGGAAGGTACGGGTAAGGATGCTTAGTGTGACTGATCATGTTTTGGGGTGGCTTTAGATGAAAGCTTTGGACTTGTCCAAAAGCACTGGTAGATACAGCTGGGAGCTACTTATGGTGGCTTTGATTTACTGTGGAATATTAAAGATGGGTTTGATTATTGTATTTGATTTTTACAAGTTGGCATTTACTTCAAAGATAGTCAAAGGCTAAAAGCTAACATCTATTGACTAAATAGATCAAACTATAAAAACTTACTGGTGTTATTCTCGTCGTAAATGAAAGTTTCCTGTTAGTCTTGAATGTCCTAGTGTTTACTCCTTGTGAGTATTCACAGTGTAGCTAGTAGCGCTTGACATGTCAG